GGAGAAAAACCCTTGGCTAAAGCTTCTCCTTTCTTGATTCAAAAATTGTTTGAATCGACCATAGGACAGTTGAAAAAAATACAAAAATTAAGATCTGGAGATTTACTGGTGGAAACAGCTTCCCCACAACAATCGGCAAAACTTCTGAAAACAAAGACCCTAGGAGAAATGAAAGTCACTGTCACTCCACATGTGAGCCTAAACTCATCACGTTGGGTAATATCTGAGATCGATCTGATATCTGAAGATAAATCAGATATTCAGATCGACCTTTCAGACCAAGAAGTCACTGCTGTCCGACGCATTTCCATTTGTCAAGACGGCAAGATGATTCCCACCAAACATCTTATTTTGACATTTAATAAACCGACTTTGCCATCTGATATTACAGCAGGTTATCTGCGCTGCCCAGTTTGCCCATATGTTCCAAATCCACTGCATTGCTTTAAATGCCAGCAATTTAAACATTCACAAACAGCGTGCCGAGGAAAATGCATATGCACACAGTGTGGAACTGAAGGCCACCAGAGTACTGAGTGCTCCAGTAGTCCATGCTGTGTGAATTGCAAAGATGCCCATCCTGCCTACTCTTGAAAATGCCTAGCATGGCAGAGAGAGAAAGAGATCCAGCGAGTAAAAACCATTAACAACATACCATACCCAGAGGCTCGGCAAATGGTCACTCAAAGCACAGCAGTGAAACAGAAAACATTTGCTTCTGTGTTGAAATCCACAAAGTCATGTGGGGTTCAAACCGATATCTCTGTCTCCCCAAGCGAATCTCTTACTCGCCATGAAAAATGTTTAATAATCCCGTCTACACAAACACCAGAAAAAAAGATCACAAAAGAAAAAACGCCCCTGCCTAAAACAAGGGTAATTACAAGAAACCTGGGTTCTAAAAAGACTAGTAAGAACCCATTAAACAAACAGAGAGTGAAAGCAGTTTTCTCTAAATCTAAAAAATCAGAAGCTCAGTCCATGAGTGAGTTCTCTGATATCTCTGATGAAAAAAATAATATGGAGATAACTCAACCAATGTCACCTCCGAAAAAAAAATCATCAGTTAAACTCAAGAGGGACACTTTTTCTAAGAATGCTGCCTCAAACACATAATGGATTATAAAATAATCCAATGGAACTGTCATGGTTTCCACAACAACTTCTCTGACATTAAACACTTGACGTCATCTACCTCATCTCTCTGCGTGGCACTCCAAAAAACCCATCTGAAACCTGGAGAAAGAATTACTATATAAGGATTCAATCTCTACCGCAAGGATGATGATAGCCACAATCGTGCCAGTGGAGGTGTGGCTATTTTGGTTTCAAATCGCATTCCATCCTTACCAGTACACATGACTATTGATTTACAAGCTGTGAAAAATATACAGAATATCTATTTGCATAACTGTCACAGTTTGTTCTATATACTTGCCACCAGACATCAGAGTGAATGAGAATGAATTGAATACTTTGGTTGAACAGCTGCCAACACCATTCCTTTTACTTGGTGATTTCAATGGCCATAAACCAATGTGGGGCAGTCCAAACATCAATCGCCGAGGCAGAGCCATTGAGAGATTAATAGATAATCAGCAAATGTATTTATTTAATACTGGAGAAGTGACATACTTCCATGCCCCAACAAGAACTTTCACTGCCATTGATTTATCATTAGCGAGTCCAAACCTGTTTTCAGCATTTATATAGCAGGTAGGATCTAATCCACTCTCTAGCGACCACTTCCCTATATTTCTAAAATATCGAAGCAGAGAAAGCTGTGAAACAGCCCGTCCACCATGCTGGAAACTTGAAACAGCAGATTGGCCTGCATTTTCCTCTTTGGCTAACATCACTGAGGAAATGGTCAATATTGCTGATATCAATGATGCAGTTGAAGTTGTCACTTCCAGTATCATTCAGGCAGCAGAAAAAACAATGGGGAAAACATCAACCAGATATCCAAAACATCCAAAGCCATGGTGGGACCAAAATTGCGAGGCAGCATTTAAAGCACAAAAGAAAGCATGGGGAATTTTCAGAAGATACCCCACTGCTGAAAATTTGGTTGCTTTTCAAAAAGCAAAGGCAAATGCCAGAAGAATAAGAACGCAAAGCCAAAGGGATTCTTGGAGGAAGTATGTTTCTAGCATAACATCTTCCACTAGCTCAAAAGCAGTCTGAGATAAAATCCATAAAATTAATGGGAAATATGCTTCTCACTCTCTGTTTATGCTGGAAAATAATGGCACAATAATCAGCGATATACAGGGTATTGCTGATTTATTGGGTGAAACATTTTCTGCTTCATCCAGCAATATTGTGTATTCAAGGAATTTTCAGGCTTATAAAGCCCAAAGA